TGAGCCTTCCAACCTTCTAAGTATTCCTTTATATGTGGTTCAGAGTTCTGGGACCATCCCCTGAGCCTGCTTGGTCGGGTATTCTGTGTTGTTGTTGGCAGAGCTCTCTAATTGTCTCTTTTTTGAACACCAAATTGTTCAGCCTTTTTTCCTTCTCACTTTCAAAAGTCCCAACTTTCCAGAGATGTGATTGATTACATATATGGTTTGATTTCCATTTAAGTGCCGTTGAGTCTGTTCCAACTCACGGTGACCCTGTATAGGGTTTCCAAGGAGCTGCTGGTGAGTCTGAACCGTCAACCTTATAGATAGCAGCCCAGTATCTATCGTACAGCACCAATACCAGGATTCCTTGGTTTATAAAGACATCCTACTAAATCTCCGGTCTGTTCTATGATCCTTCCTCAGCTGAATGCAAGGACAGTGTGACTCAAGATTCAGTTGTTGGTTTGTAGTCAGCTCACTTCTAGAGCTCCGCGTGAGCTGTTTTCTCTTTCCTCCTCAGATCATGACCAACACGGGCAAGACCACAGCCAAGCAGCGGAAGGGCTCAGCTGCCATGCAGTGGAGCGCAGACGAGCCCCTGCGCCGGCCCGTCACCCCCGGTGGCCACAGGACCGGGCACCCAGTGTAAGTCTGGGCGAAAGGAGGCGGGGATGGCTTTTCTTAAGTTTCATCCTGATTACTTACAGTGTGAAGTGTATGCCTTAGAAATGTAACAAATAAAAACTTCCTGTTGAGAAGCAGTCATCTCATTAGCATTTCTCTGCCTGGGGTTTTGGGAGGGAAAGAGGAGGTGTCCCCACCCCATCTCTACTCCCAGGCTTCCTTGGGCCAAAAGTGGAGCATTTGACAGGAGGCCGGCACCAGGGGCTCTTCTAGATAATGCCATTGAAATGATCGGAAGCCCGAAAAGAGCCGGGCAGGTCCTGGGTCTGAGCGGAGTTGAGGGACCCCACGTCCCCCCATCCCATGATCCCTGAAGGGGAAAACAGATGCTCTCCCTGCTATAGAAGTGCCTTCCCATTCTTCCAATGCTTACTGCTCAGACTGGGAAATCCACGACACCAGCGGACCACAGCAGGAAACAAAGCCAGATTTCTTTAGGGTCAGCGCGCTTAGAGCCCTCAGGAGGTGACCCTCTGACGAGATCAGGCCTTCCCACTCAGGTGTGCAGCCTGCTGCAAGGTGCTTGATTACCCCCCGCCACCCTTGACAGTTCCTTCTTGTGTCCTTTAGACAGACTGTCCAGGTGACCACAATGTGTTCCCTGAAGCCCTTTTCCCAGTCATTGTCACTGAATTCATCAGAAGAGAAGCCCCAATAAAGACCTTAAAGCAGAGACCCTTGTCAGGGGAACAGTGGAACGCACCAAATCAGCTAGTTGTAGATGCCTCTTTAGAGCAACTGTATTCTTATTTAAAAGGAGCCCTGATGGCTCAGTGGATTAAGCAATGTACTGCTAACTGCAAGTGGAAGGTTCAAAGCCACCAGTCACTCCTTGAGAGAAAGATGAGGCTTTCTGTTCCTATAAAGATGAACTGACTCCGAAAAGCTTCGGACACAGCTGTACTCTGTCTGTAGGCCCACCATGAGTCGGAGCGGACTCGGTGACAATGGGGTTTTGGTTATTCATATTTGAGGGGCCTGGGTGGCACAATGGTTAAACGTTTGACTGGGAACCTAAAAGTTGGTGGTTCAAACCCATGTAGAGCCTCCATGGGAACACGACCTGAAAATCTGCTCCCACAGAGATTATAGCCTGGAAAACCCACGGGGCTGTTGGACTCTATCTCCTGGGGTCACTGTGAGTCAACTATGAGTCTACGGGAGAGCTAACAACAGCATATTCAATTTCAGCTGCCAAGCCTTATTCAGTCTTCACAGCCTTGCTACTATTCCGCTTATATAAATAAAGCTTTAGTCTGGTCAGCCACAGCCTCTGATCTCCTGGCTCTCGGGACCTGGATCCTGTGAGTTGTGGGGAGCCCTGGCCAGGCCTGTCCTGACTGAGCAGGAGAGAAGCCCCCCTCTATCATCTGCGAAGCTTGTCTCCCCTGTCCTGAGAGAATGCTGTCGGGAAACAAGTGGAACAAGGGGGGGTACGGAGAGCAGACAAAAAAATCTACCTGTGTTCATTCAATGAGCTGTTTGTTGAGTGCCATCGAGTCAGTTCTGACCCATAGCGACCCTGTAATAGGGTTTCCAAGGAGCAGCTGGTGAGTTTGAACCGCCGTCATTGTGGTTCAAACCGACTTTGCAGTCTAGAGCAGTAATCCACAGCCCCACCCCAGAACTCCATTCAACAAATATTGAATTGGCTGTAAAATATTCCAAGTGAACAAGCTGCATTTTATAGTTATTTTCTCTATAAAAAAAAAAACCCTGTTTTTAGGTCTCTGGTTTCACACTACAATAATTTTGTAATGAACAACCAAATATCTTAGATACAGCAACAGATACAACATACAGTGCCAGCCTCTGGGCAGCTCATGCCAGGGACACGAGCAGCCAGGGACACCAATGCTAGCACTGGCTCTGGCCGAGCTCAGATGCTCACCTGGGACCTGGCCCCTCAGTCTCAGGGCCTTTCTGGGGACCAGAGCCCCAAACCTATTTGATGATCTCAAAACTAGCTGTATGCTTCAAACTTATAGATTCTGTTTTTAGTTACTGATTTACAAACACTAAGCCTTTTTCTCTTTCTAAACTACAAGCAGTATTTTTTGGGTTTTTTTTTTACACAATTGCCACCATATAATAAAACAGAAACAGTGGTCATTACTATTCAGGGACAATAAAGCTGGAACTTTTAGGAATGCTGTTCCAGAGTGATAGAGCTGTATGCAGGGAAATGAGTTTAACTGTGATTCTTGGTCTTTAACTCAATGATGGGGAACCAAACATGTCTTCTTTGAGCTGTTTTACCTTGCTTCTAGAATGTATAAGTTTTCCCAAATAGTAGTGTGTTACTTTGGTTTGTCTACAAAGCCTACCTTTTATTTTACATTTAACAGTTCTCTCCAAAGGATGGAAACCGAGTTTTAGAAACCAATTATGATTTGGAACATTTTCTCTTATTCACGCATGATTTGGGACTGTGGAACATGGCTGTATCTCTTTCTCTTTCTCTCTGCTGATGTGTGCTTAGTACACAAGGTTTCAGTACCACCTTCATCCTGAGAAAAGCCCGGCTTCTTATTGTCTGCATCAGTCACTTCTTAGCTCTAGTATTCACCATCCTTTAAGTAAGAGCTTTGTTTCTTCTCTCCAAGCGTATAAACCTCCTCACCGCATCTTAGTTAAACATGAAGATTAGTTTTCACAGTTACTTATTGTTGTTGTTGTTAAGTGCCATCGAGTCAGTTCCGACCCATAGCGACACTGTATAGGGTTTCCGAGGGTGTAAATCTTTACGGGAGTAGAAAGCCTCATCTTTCTCCCGCGGTGCAGCTGGTAGTTTTGAACCGCTGACCTTAAGGTTCCCAGCCCGATTCGTAACCACTACGCTACCAGAGCACAGTTACTTATAGGGAAAAAAAAATTTTTTTTTTCATCTCAAATGGGTCTACACAATGGGCTCCATACACTGGTAAATCCTAATATTTATTTCTGTTTTATTTTCATTAAATTCTGTCAGGAAGAATAGTTTAGTGCAGTTGTATGTTTGATATCGCTGACTTTCATGTAATTGGAATGAACAAGTTATCTTACACAGATGCTGACTGTGGCCTGGTATGGGTTAAAGCACTGGACCGCAAGGTTGGTTTGAACCACTAGGTTTGCACTTCAAGCTCACCAGCCGTTCATTGGAAACCCTACTCAGGGTCGCTATGAGTTGGACACTTAACAACAACATACTGACTGTGGAGTGTTTTATTGATGACAAAAAGTGTTTATTCCCTAGTTTTTAGCAAAACAGATTTAGTTTTGCGTGTCACTATACCTGTCGGACACACCCATACACTTTTCCAGGGTGACACCTCTTTTTCTGCAGTATAAATCCAGAAAGCCAGAATCTCGGTGTGAATTAAAATCCATGGCCGTGTCTACTGAAGATTATCATCTGATCAGCTTCAGGTTTCTTCTGCATGAAGAAATGCCCACAGTCATAAAAAGGACATGGCTCAAAACATTCACTTGTGTATCCTGTTGGGTCCCCTTGCTCCAAAGGACCAAAAGATACAGAGGGTGTGGAAACTCACCTGCAGCTCGTAAATTAAGGATGCCCCTTTATGCGGTACCCACAAGGACAAGTAGAAACTTGATTCTCACAACACTGTTTGCACGTCATTTCTAGTCCACAAGGTAAAATTCAGGTTGAAAATCCGAAGGCCAAAGAAGCCTTCCCAACGAAACCCATTTCGTCTAAAGAGTTGTTTGTATCCAGGAAGAGTTCTGAGCCCTTGGACGTGAACTGGAAGACAGAAAGAACATGCACCTCGCCTGCTATTACTGGGCCGTAATAGCAGCTCTGTTTGTAACCATACACCACTTACTCCCATCACCTAGCCTTCCAGTAATGAGCAAAATAAAGTCAATGAACCACCAAAATCTAAAGTCCTCCAAGTGTGCCATTGTGTCCCCGACAAAAGCAACCCACTCCACAACACCCCAGGAAGAAAGAGTAAAGTAGTTATGAAGGCCTGTCCGGCGTACTGTATGCCAGGGTCACTCTTGTAGGAAGGTTCTGGAACTGGTACATGCAGTTCTATGTAGGTCTCAGGACAAGACTAAAGTGTGCTCCGTGCCACTGTAGGCCTTACCGCCGAACTTGAAACAACCATAGCCAAGTTCTTAGAATGTGGTTGCATTTCCAACACGATCCCCCCCACGGCCTTCATGTTCTATCTCCCAGGCCCAGTTCCCTAGACCCCACCTCAACCACAAAACCAGTATTTTTTTAACCTACAAGAAAAGTGAAAGAATATGACAATGAATACCTCTCAGTTATCATTGCGCTGCGTTTCTTCTCTCTCTTTTTGGTGTGCAGAATACACAGTGGACACACATGTATACACTTTTATTTTGCCCGACCATGTAAAATAAGGTTGCAAATTTTCAGCTCCTAAGGAAAGCATCCTCAAACACAACCACGTTACCAACATCTGAGGAAATAAACATCAATATTCAGAGACCCCAAGTTTGGGAGCAAATGCCATTTCTAGGTGAGGGTTTTATGTTTGGTTTTTTGGATCCTGAATACAGCTAGGTGTCCACTACTAGCAAATCCAGTTTATAATACCATTCTGGATGGAAGCGGCTTCTAGGGCGGATCAAACTCATACTATGGACATGAAAAAGAAGACTCCAAATCATGGTTTAGAAAAATTGTTTTTTAAAGGATTATTAAATCCTTGGTTTTATAGGGAGGTAGGGCTATTTGGGTCGCTATGGGTCGGAACCGACTCGACGGCACTTAACAACAACAACAACAAGGGCTATTTGAATTAGCGATAAGGCTAATAAATGGAGTCCTATGTTGAGTGCGGGTTAAGGCGCTGAGCAGCAAAGTTGGTTTGAACTGCAAGGTCAGTGATTCAGGCTCACCAGCCATTCCTCAGAAACCCTATACAGGGTTGCTATGGGTCAAAACCAACTCGAAGGCACTTAACAACAGCCAGCACCACCAAT